TTACACGTCTGTATATATATATATATATACACGTTATGTATATATATATATATATATATATATATATATATATATACCTACTAAAAAAAGGCAATTTCTATGTAATTGAAATTCTTCATATAAAATTGTAAAACTATACAAACTTAGCCCGAGAATAATATCCACGAGTAATCATGCCGTGCAGTACAGTACCAGAAGCGTCATTTACTTATTTCTGCACACATTTATATCCCTATAATGACGCGGGAATATATCGAGGGCACTTATGCACGTTATGTACAATAAAGGTACGGAATTGCAGTACCTAAAGGGAGAACCCAGGAAGACGAGAGGGAGTATTAAAGTTGGCTTCTTTACGGCTGCTTTTATTATGGAAACTGACATGCGGTCGATATACTAACCTAAGAACACGAGTCGTGCGTATTCCCATTAGATTTGCTATACCGACACCTTTAGCCAAAGTGTATATTGATGTTGGTGGTAAAAAAACGAAAAATTTAGTTCTAATTCTTTTATTGCGTTACCGAGTGTGGAAGAAGTCATCCGAAGGAATTATTCTTGGCGGTCGAGAGACACGCGAGGACTCTAATGTCTTTGGGTTTATTTATTTGCAGGATAATCAAAAGCTATATACTGTATAATATATGGGTATATACATATATATATATATATATATTTAACGCTTAGATTTACGTGCCAGAAGTTTCGCTAATGTATATACTGTATAATATATGGGTATATACAGTGTGGAAGAAGTCATCCGAAGGAATTATTCTTGGCGGTCGAGAGACACGCGAGGACTCTAATGTCTTTGGGTTTATTTATTTGCAGGATAATCAAAAGCTATATACTGTATAATATATGGGTATATACATATATATATATATATATATTTAACGCTTAGATTTACGTGCCAGAAGTTTCGCTAATGATATTCGGCAATGTCGAGATAGGGCGATAGTGTATTTACCTTTACAGAATTAAATACGATACAAGTAGAGAGCACTACCATGGCTCCTCTGTTAAAGGTTAGACTTGCGTTAGAATATAGTACAGTGTGAAATAGAAGCTCTATCCTTCTTCAGTTATGTGATTTTATCCGTAGTAAATGACATCACAGGGTATTTCTTCATCGGACAAAGAAGAGGTGCAAATGTCAAAAGGAAATATATCTACCGGTATGGAATGCGATTGCAGCGCCCCGGTGGGACAAAATTGTATATAGAAATATGACTATAAAAGGCAAAAGAGCAATGCTTTATACGTATATCATTACCACTGACCCTGTTACAGTAGAACGACTCGATTATTTTCTATCTGACTATATGAAAAATTTGTTATTTATATTATATTTGAATAAAGCAGGGATAATAAAAAAATGCTTGTAGTGGTTAAAGTAGAAACATCTTTTATATTTAAGAAAAGTCTGGTACTCCTAGAGATATAATATATACAGAACTAATGACGCACGCATAACAATGGTCTTTGGGATGTAATTCTACAGGATTTTTTCGTGTAGTCTTCACCCACGCTTAAGAGAACATGAAGAATATGAATGGAGGATTTAATTATTATTATGTAATACAAAAATCTCTATCATAGGACGTCTACGACACAAAAATTCAAATTCTCAAGAACATTTGACATAAGCGATGCCCTGCGGCAGCTTTCGTAACTGTTCGCTGATTTATGACTAACCCAATGATTCGAACGCATTGAGGATACGAATAAATCACGTAGAATTCCGTCGCGTATGTATCTTGCCTCTTATATGGAAACGATTGCCTCTCCGTCCGAGAGCGTAAAAAAATCTGTCAGAATAAAAATACGAGCGTTCACGGAAACTGGAGCATTTTGCAAGACGTTAATGACCACCTTGCCGACTGTCACCCGACAAAAGAAGAAAACTACGTCCGATGAGAATGAGAAAAATTCAAATAAAAATCTAACCTCCGTAATCGTTAAGCAAACACGCCATGGGTTATCCTTTTATGCGAAAGGTATTCTTGCATAATGCCTCACGATCTTCCCTTACGTATAGCGTGTCGTATAATTCATCAGAAGCGGTGAGGAGAAGATGAGATACGCCTCAGCCATCCCTGCGTGGAAACGCGAAAATTGCCGATGGCAGGTAGAGAAGTGCGCATATATATATAGTAGAAGGTATAGTATGTACATCGAGGCTGAAAATTACACGATCGTAAAGGTGCGCCCTTTTACGTAGCTACACGGTAAAAGGGTACAACAGTACCCTGCACACCTTGTAAGAAATCCTGGAAGCCGGTAACTGTGCATAACCTTACGTAGCCAAGCACATATCCCTACGTTGTCGAGGCCGAAAGTACTACCTACCCAAGATGGCCGAAGTCTTGGCGTAGGATGTGAATACGCAATAATTGTAGTACCGGGCGAGAGGGCGAGCTTCGTAAGGCAAGTGTCAAAAGGTCACGCATGTAACGACGCTACTGTATCGTGTGTCGTGTGTGCTACTGATTTAATACCATCCTATAATGGTATAGTGTGTGAAATATCAAATATGCTTTATAAGACGCGTATATATCAGATAACATAACCTATAGGTACTCCCGTGTGTAAAAGCATTACGTGTATCATGGTAGGTGCTGCTGTCAGGTTAATCAGGAAAGACCTGGAGAAGTGGAGGATGTAAGAAGTGCGTGTGTCATACGGGGACGTGGATGAAACGAAGAGGGATTAAGAGGAGTGAGAAAGAGAGAGGCAAAATAGTCATCCAGGGAGAGACTATCTTCAACACTCGTTAATTCGCTCGGAGAATTCCTGGGACCATCTGGCTATCCTCGTGCGCCTCTACCTGGGACTTACTCGGTTGGATCGTCCCTGAAAGGTACGTACGTATGTACGAGAGAGGACGTTCACATGCGAGTTACAGGAAAGGAGGAGCAGCCTTTTCGCAAAGAGTCACACAGCCATTTCTTGTCGCCATTCGGCTTGCAAGCCGCTATATGTATTCTGTATACTATATTTCAGTACAGTGCACTTGTGTACATACCTTTAAGCAGGACCGGTACGATCTTGCGGTTAACACAGTAGTAATCTCCGGCTGCGACAGTACTGGAGGCAATACGAGCGATATCTTTCTTTTACCTTTATTGGGCCCTTTTTTCAAGTCCTTAACGTCCGTTTAAAGAATTACGTAGGAACGAGTACGGGACCGCAGTCTAGTGTCTGACAGGTCTGGCTGTATATATACACATAGATTAATCGTAATTAGACGATGGTGAAATAATTCTACTGTGACGTACTCCAATTACACGATTTACCGAGGGAGAATTAGAAAGGAAATTCAAATGCCAAAGAGGGCGCGAGATACTTGAACGTGAAAGCCACCACGGCAACTCGCGGCTCTTGAGCATCGATCACAGTCGGACACTGAAAAATTATACAATCTTTTGACAAGAAGAAAAATGGAGGAAGAGAGGGGACAAAAAATCGTATTCACCAGCAATCAACTAAGCGAAAGCTCCTATTGGCATGACGATCGATTTACGATCGACGCAATTGACAAGATTCGTAGTCGCCATTATTTGTCGTCCTTTCGCCATCTTGCATTTGACAGTACGGCATAATTATAATCCAGTTTATGTTTTCACGTTTCACAACCACTAACGCTTTTCCCGTCCGGAAAAGTTGTATGTTACAGAGTCACGATGATGTCGCACAAACTCGTTCAATATAAACACACTCTGAACACATAAATCGCTGCGACGTCCGTGCTCCATTAAGTTTTCACAAAAATCGCAGTACGACAAAATACAACTGTCTCACGCGTAGACAGCGCCCCTGCCGTCAATAGTCGGTAGCGCAATGTACCGCGTGATTTGAATTTATCTTGGTCGAGATAAGACAGAAAAAGTGTTAACAAAGAGGAACAGAAGCAGCAGACGAGTTGGATGATAAATAAATAGAAAAAGAGAGGATTATGTAAATAACATCGAGACAAGCCAAGACAACGGTTATTGCCGCATTCGCTATCGCAATGTTATCTCTTGCGGAGAGTCGCACAATATTTCGCAAGAGAGGAGCGACTTACGAGAGTCACTAAGCGCAACTTCGACTATAGGGATCGAGAGCCATGTACCTATAAAGGGTATCCCGTACCTGTATATGCTCAGGTAAATACATATATATCCACATATGGAGCACTTATGTATAGGGTACCGGTAAAATAGTGGTATAGCACACGGTATAGCAGTATAGTACTTTATGCCGGCTGATGGCGGCCTCTTTTAAAGCATCATGGGGGTCCCGGTACTTGAGACCCCATAAGCAGTGCCGTAGTCCGTGCATGATGCACGAGTGTCACTCACGGTGGCCAATCACGAGGGGTCTGTAAATGCATATATATAGTTTAGTATATATATACCTTTGATTATATGAAAAAGTAACAAAAGAATAAAATGACTGGTATGTGGTAGAATTAAAAAATTGGCTGATTATGTTGAAAAGAGACTTCATTATAGAGAGCTGTGACGTCTTCATTGGTCTCAATTACGCACCTCGACGCCAAATGACACGTGTGCGTATGGCGCCTATATGAATATGTACGTATACCGACGCCTGGCACCGTTTCTCCTGAATTGTGCCTCCAAGCATCTACTCGGGGAATTTCTAGTTATAATTTAACGTACACAGAGATACGTATAAGTAGATACTGTTTTTGTAAGTGTATAGTGTAGTCGATGCCGATACTGAGCTAATAATATTTTACTGTATTACTATAGTATCATATCAGGACACGACTGTCTACTGTCTTACTATACTATTATATGAACTAGTATACGAGTAATGAGAACAGATGAGAATCAAAATATAGAAATGCTATAGGCTAGTCATTACGCGTCACACAATATAAATTAACGTAATTTCATGATGAAATTACATATTTGTATGAAAACTCATTAATCTCGATACCTCATGCACATGGAACCGTACGAATCTTTAGAAAATAAGTACGTCACAGTTTAATTTCGGAACGTTATATTTTAAAATACAATATATCTAAATAAATGTTTTACACCAAAAAGAAGTATTTTATGACGAAGTAAAACAAAATAATGTAAAATATAATTTTAAAAAATGGGACAGATATCAGACATACACGGGACTCGAACCAGCGTTCTCTGTGTCCGCCTAGAATCTATGCATTTACGTTATGTGATTCAGGACAGTTGTCGATTTGGTATATGCAGATAACAAAATTATAAGTGCAAAAGTAATTGTCAGAAGTGGGATTCGAACCCACGCCCTCAGAGAGGACCAGAAGCCTCGAAATCAAACTCGCTTTCAAGCGAGCAAGGTTTTGCAATACCTTGAGTCTGGCGCCTTAGACCGCTCGGCCATCCTGACACTGTAGACAAGAAACCAAAAATATGTCTTAGTGCAGACTAAGTTGTTCTAAGGCGAACTATTACTTATTTATATATATCAATATGAATGACAATAAATCACCTTTTTAAAATCAAAAGCTAAAAACATATGAAGAGAAGAAACTAGAAATAACAATAAATGTATTTTGGCGAGATGCGTCATACATGATGACAAACCAAAAATATAACTTATTACAGATTAAGTTGTTCTGAAGAGAATTATTACTTAAACATGCATATCGATATTTATGAAAACAAACCACCTTTTTAGAACCAAAAAAAACATGAAGTTTCGTTAACAATTTCTCGTATAGTAGTGACGGCGAGGCATCTTTCAGTAATTGTCAACTATTTTTAGAAGAGTTTGGTAGTTTGACACTTACAAATAAACACGATATGTAGAGAGAATGTGTGAAGAAGTGTAGTATAGTAAACGCACGTCGTATTCTACTCGTGGCGTAATGAAATTCGTGTAACGCGATATACGCCTGGAGAATGATAATGGCACTCTCTCAGACTATACAAAATACATTAAGTATAGAGTGACTGGGATGCGTGGGTTGGCATCTTGGCAGACACATACGATAAGAAGACCCATGCATTCCTGACTTCTGACCATCCCGGAATATGACAGTGGCCAGGGTGTTTGACTTATCGTATCTTAACTCGTACAAGGAATACCTCTCGCATGGAGTCTACACTGCGTGTTGCCTAGAGTGAGTATTATCTGACAGTATAAAAGAAAGATGACACTTATGAGATGGTCCGCCAAGAGAGATATATTGTATGAGAAAGAAGAATAAATTAGGAATTAAAGAATAAAATATATACGGCTATAGGCTCTACCGATTACATTATGGCATTCTCACATGGAACAATTTACGATAGGTTGTTGAAATTGCGTGGGTGAGGACCTCTTCTCGACGTTGGAGGTCATCATTTTTAATTCTTTTTTCTTATAGTAAATGTCCTTTATACGTATTTCGAGTTAAGGAGCTTTCACTTTTCACAATGTACACACTAGAATGCCTTTATATAGTGAAGCCAGATTAGAAAAGAGAATAGAGGTAACAGATTCTCTCTAGTAGATAATCTGGGTATGTACATAAAATATACCTAAATATCCATATACATTATATTCACGGAATCGTGTGAATACAATAAAGACAACGTTATAACTAAATATAGCTAAAAGGTATACGAGATAGAGGATAGACGCAGGTATATGTATATACTTCGTGCATATACCTGGTTCATAGTTTGTATACCTGGCACAGTTGTATAAAAGTACGGGCGAGGCAGCCATTGTGAGAAGCTAAGCTGAATGGGTGATAAATCGTTAATAATAGTGTTCTGTAGGAGATTTGTTTCGTCGAGTATGTACCTATCCACTTTTCTTGACTACTTCGTACATGATTTGAATCGCGCGGTCGTGCAAATGTCCTATCGAACTATTTCAAGATGGCGCTCGAGAAAAGCTATGCGGACGTAATATCGTAGCGACAATCGTAAATTTGTCCACGAATCAGTGTATCGGGGTTAAAAAATTGCATATAGCCGCGACGGAATTGACAGTGACAATGTGTCCGTGTGTAAATCGGCGTTATGTGTGTGTGATGGGTTGCCAGTAAAATATGCAAATGCATTTTATACACACGAGAGTTCGTAATCCCATGAGCTTCGTGACCTGTACTGACTTTCTGACTCCGTGGCTCTGGTCTCGTCTTACGCCTCTCTTTGGATCCCATAAGAATCCACTCACTCAGACTGTTTCTCCTCTCCATGCTGTTTCAAGGAATTACTGTTTCTCGAACTTCTCTTATTCTGGTTCCTTCTAACCTCCACTACGGTTCATACTTTACGTGAAGGTCTCTCTGCATTTTCCTATTATTTATCCTATTTGCGCGTAGTCTCAGCTTCGCTACTGACAGTTACTATGCGCTTAATCATTGTTTACCATCTCGTTACGATACTGTGCTTCTTGAGCATCCTTAAGTAAATTCTCGCAAGGCAGAGGACACATTGTTCAAAATAATTTTTTGTTCCCCGTTCAAGTCACCAGGTCGTTAAAATCCTTTCTTCGAAACGAGGAAAGAGAAGTCAGCTGGCAATCGTGAAACGAGGTATAGATGCTTTAAAGACTGGTTAAAGATGAGAAAAAAGATAAAACAAATTTTGGAATTCATCTTTTAATCGTTGGATTTACATCATTGCGATACGGCCAGGTGATTATAGAGGCATGTGTTTTTTGCTTCTATTCTTTCTTTCAAGTGAGACTTTCGTATCCAATGATCTTGGAATGAATATTTTTTGTTCATCCAGGCATCCAATCGACCGAAGGATCCACAGGATCATCCGGTTTAATTAGACAACGGGATAGGGTCGTAGGCCAATTACAGATCACGTGGACTATGCCCAATCACTATCCAACATTATAAGAAGAATACTACAGAGGCCTACCACCGCAAGGAAAATGATTAGGTACATGGACACTCAAGTGAACATCAATTTTCAATCAAATCACCAATAACTATCCTAGATCATTAAGCTGTGCCAGTGATATGGCTTTTAACCGCTTAACAGAAGCCAACTCTACTCCTAATTGAACACCCGGTATGTACATACGTGCTGGTAGAATCAACGCGTTGACTTGTTCAAGTAATTAAAAGGCCCAATAACAGGGGACTCGTTACGATTCCACGATAATTGCTCATTCTCTTTGTCACAGGCACACGTGCACGCAATCACACACCATAGTAAATGGATTATATGTGAACACACGATCCAACAGAACAAAAATAGTCTGTACATCGAACGAATAGATACAATAGTGCATAGAAATATTAAAGTGTCCACCGGATACATCCTTCGCGCCCAACACAATCTCATATACATCTATAATGCATGCGGGAAGCATTACTAGTCAAAAGGGCGGGTGGTCACTATAAACACACAACAGCTGCCGTACTATATGGTTGTATATGGGAATATACATACGCTTATGTATTACTACATACGGTATACTACGTGGCAATACTATCACGAATGTAGAGAGCAGGTGAACCAGTGAATCTTTTATTCCAGCAGGATTAATGTCGTGGATTCTTAGTCACTTTTTTGTACGTATACCTTCGGAGAAACCTGATCTCATGGATGCCATACAAAAATTTTTTTTTTTTACCCACTACTCACGTATAATACTCAACTTTGGAGTGAAAAAAAATTTCGATCATCATTGTCTGGTGAATATAATCTCAACTTCAGTTGGCGATAGCAACCTTATTCTGCATTTATGAAGCTACCTTTATGTACGTGTGTAATATTATATTGGGCCTTAATAGTTACATAGATATATGTTACATATTACACGTATAGATACTTCCGTGTCGAGATCTTGGTAGGATTAAGGATATTCATTACACCTAGGAATGGTTGGATACTTTTTATAAGGACCTAAAACCCTAAAGGTTGCTTAGGTAGTTAAAGGGCAGGAAGATCATATGTCACAGTGTTTATTTAATATGTTAGGCCATCAGGCTACTATATTTCTTGTAATGCATTAATGATGCAAGAAATGGTAGAGATTTGCGATGCCATGAGGAAGATGAAATACGATAGCTTTTTATTTGTGGAGCAAGAAGCGTTGCAATATATTCATTTTGGAACTTTTTTTAATAATTTAACGAGTAGAGGGGCAGTGCTAAAGGAAAAGTAATCGCATGTATAGTAGTGTCCGGCCATAAAGTCATCAAGTCATGAGATACACGTGTACGTACTGGACAGTTAATAGTGAGCTTCCACGTAGTACTTCCCTTGTGTTGGCAAGCTGTATTAATTGATCCAGCGCTTCCAAGTAGAAGGAGTTTTAATGACCCGAGTATATATTGATCGATGACTAAGTCAAGAACCTATGATAATAATAACTGGCATCCCCCGTTGATTTCCCCATAGGAACGATGAATAAAATTGTACTACCTGCTACGATGATTTTTTTTTACTGATCTATCATTTCTCTCCCGATATGCGCTCTTGCACAAAGCTATGACAGTCTGATGAGTATTAATGAACAATACAATTTCTCGATCCGATTATAAATGAAAAATGATCTAAACATTCTTTTTCTTTTTTCAATGATACGTACAGGTAAATTTTTAAACTTGAGAAACTGTACGTACAGCATACCTAACCATACGTGTACCAGTCTACATATTTACTGAACTGAAAAATAGTCAGTTCCTGAAGAAGTCATATTAAAAAAATGACGGAACTGAAAATTTTTTCAAAACGATACCGAAAATTAGGAAAATTATTCTCGCTCCGCTTTCTTGCGCTCACTGAGGAATGCAGTGAGATAAAATTGATAACTGAACAACCCTTTATGCTAACAGTTAATAGTAATCTACACCAGTAGTTCGCTACTCGTTAATTGGCGATTATGATTAGTGCTGCTATTCAGAACGGAATAACGAGCGTTTGGTAGGAGCGCTAGGATATTCTGACGAGAAATTATTAGTCCCGTTCTCTTCTCCATTCTTGCGGTAAATTATATTTGACAAGTTGGTACCGACGGTCGCTGTTAGTTCATCTGAATACTCTCCTGGTATTTTCTACCACGGATTCGACGTATTATTTTTTTTTCCTCATAAATATTCTATGTCCAGAAGCCAAACGGGTTAGGGCTGTCGTTTAACTTATAGGATTTCACTGCAGTTTGGTGCCGTCATTAACATTTCCTTATCACTATGGAAACTTTGCTACAGAGACTACTACCAGCTTATACTATAGCGCAGATTTCATCTTACGGGATTCTAGTATAGTTTACTACTGTGATTAGGATTTCCTTTTGCACCTATTTTAAAACACTTTGTTGGTGCGTTTTATTACAGTTCTTGGAAAGTATAAAAATTTTTTCCAACCGTGTTCAACATTTGCGATAATAATATTTCCCATAAGACCTGTAAGATCTCGTAAATATTTTCCCCACAATATCCTGCTGATATTTCAATTACCAAGAACAGAGGAATTTTCAATCAACCAAAGGCATTTTGTAACAAGCAAATCAAAGTATACACGCTTGCATTGTGCCGGCACGTTGCACACGCAACCTAGCGAGAATCTTCAGGAACGCATCAGATGAGATGCATCATGCATGCCGGAAGATATACAAAAACTGCACTTACAATTAGTGCATGAAAGCCACGTAAGCCAGATACATCCTAATCACATAGCATGCTTCCGTCAATCATTATACTAATTTTTTAAAAATCTAGAAAAAAATTCGTACGAAAATCTGCATCACTCATAAAAATAATAGTCACTGAAAACTTAATGCACCATTTAAAAATGCATCTTTTTTACAGTGCTCTCCTAACATGACTTCTATATTCACATTTATATGCAACCAAGTGCATACTGACTCACGTTATCGCAGACTCACGCAAAATTGCAGTGTCCGTCTTTACGTACATAAAACACAGACCATGTGTGAGTTTATGCATTTCTTATGCTCGTGTATCTGCACGGTATCCTGTACCTGAGTGCATATATATATATACAGGAATGCATTCGTATATACAACAAAGGAAAAAGGCAGGAGGTAAGACCCAAGTGCTTGCGGCCATGTGCAGCGCCTGGCAGACCGCTGGTCAATGAACCGTTGCACACGCGACATCCTCTCGGATGCTGCACATAGTTGGTTATCGAAATGATCAGAATCGACCAGGGTAATCTAACCGCCAAGGACTCGCAAGGACGTCTTGTATTACCCTGCATCAAGTGGACAGGATAGATTGGATGATTAATATGGAAAATGGAAAATTATACAGTGTCGAGTGTCTTGTTTCTTGGTAAAAGAACACGTGTCTTGTAGCACATGGAACATGGGACTCTGGTGAAACCATGAAACTAGCAGACGACGAATAAAGGAAGATACAACAAACCCTGATATGGAGTCTGGATGAGAAGATGCGTATTTAAAAAATAATTTCAGCCGGCAAATAGACACGTTGGTTATATTCTTAATAGTTGGTTCGCAATCTTGCAATCTCGCAATAGTTGGTTATGATTCTTAATAGAATTTGAAAAATATTAAATTAACATTTATTAATTCAAATTTCTACCCTCTATCTATTACAATAAGGTTATTAACGAGAGAGACACGTTTATGTAGTGACTAATAAGAGGCCAAATATTTTTATGACTACTGTTAAGTAAATATTACAACAGAACCATGCAAGTAAATCATTTTATGTAATTTATGGAATATAAACGTCTCACTCTAGGAGGGACAAACAATGAACAATGAAACAAAGAGACAAACGTAATGATCATACGATTCGAGTCTCGAATAGGTTAACCTGAACGCTACTTACTGTTGGTTACACGATGATTCAAGTCAATCATTAGAGATATACGCAAAGGGTCAAGTGTACGATGCGAGATGTATTTGATACTTGTGCAAACAGTCGGGATAATTGATAGTGAATAATTATTTATAAAATCGTCACGTGTTATTAGAAATTAATTATAATAATTATCTAGTATGATTTATATTTTGGTACGTTATATTGAGATATCAGAGAAATCAATGATATCAACCAACAATCGCGAGACTCATTGACGTGGACGATGGCTACTGCATTTACTGACTGCACAGCATCCAGTCATATTACTACGTCTCTTCGTGTTACTTCAGAGGATTGCGGATGCACGGATATTACGATGCAAGATATTCGCGTGACTCTAAATCTTGTTGTAGCGAACATTTTAAATGTTACTGGCTTTACACGGGCGAGCATATATGTATATACAGGGTGAGGCGCGAGAAACAAAACACCTAAATAACTTTATTGGATTTAAAGATACGGAGTACGCAAATATCGGAATTTAAATGATTCGGAAGGGCGCCCATGGTTATCATAATATTTTTTTTTAATTTCATTTTTTACCAGTTTTTTCAAGGTTATCAGAGTTTTTTTTAAATGGAATGGCACATTTTTTCTCCTTGCACATTGTAGCCGGCATCGAAACGAATCCAACCATGTAACATAGTATGACCTTCAAATGACCTCCAACCCAGAAATATGGAATTAATACTAATTCGACATGTTAGAGATTTGGCTTTATTTCTGTTATGATAGACTTCGTCCTTCAGTTTTCCCCACAGATAGAAATCGAGGGGAGTGAGATCTGGTGATCGAATCTATCATGAACGACCAACCACTGCAGAGAACATGAAAGAAAAAATCACCAGGGCTTGTGCTTCGACTTCTTCAGAAATTAACTACAGAGTAGTAAATTCTGTTACTACACGGTTTCACAAATGTATCGCAATGCAAGGGAGTCATTTTGAACATTTATCGTAACAGAAATAAAGCCAAATCTCTAACATGTCGAATTAGTATTAATTCCATATTTCTGGGTTGGAGGTAATTTGAAGGTCATACTATGTTACATGGTTGGAATCGTTTCGATGCCGGCTACAATGTTCAAGGAGAAAAAATGTGCCATTCCATTTAAAAAAAACTCTGATAACCTTGAAAAAACTGGTAAAAAATGAAAAAAAAAAAAAATATTATGATAACCATGGGCGCCCTTCCGAATCATTTAAATTCCGATATTTGCGAACTCCGTATCTTTAAATCCAATAAAGTTATTTAGGTGTTCTGTTTCTCGCGCCTCACCCTGTATATATGTGTGTCTGTATATAATATATATGCAGCTTGCAATTTAAATAGCAGTATAGTAGCCTTGACGTTAATGATATTTTCGCAATCAGTATACATTGATTTACATTTTATAACTGCTCTTGATCTAATGCTGCTGAAATTTTAATAGTTTTTTTTTTTTTTAATGGCATCGTTACGGCATTGACTCTATATTATAATTCAGTAATGCACTCATTCATTCTATAAAGTGAATTTTCATTCAATTCACTCAGAAAGCAGCTGATTTCATAATTTATATTGCATTGCTACCAATCACAAAGAATAAAGGCACTGGTTCTAGCACTATTCATCATTGTCCAAATACAAGTCAGTAGTGTATCAACTCTTCTTTATAGTCAAAATCATTTTAGAAAGTCATTGGACCAATTTGTTATGCAGATCAAAACATGTTTATGAGTTAACCTTGACGTACAGTACAAATAAGAAGGTCAACGAGATAAGAAATGTGCTTTATCTGATATAATAATCGTATGGCATATCATAAACTATTTAATTAGTTTGAAAGGGACTGTACATTGAAAAAAATTTTACATTTCATATTATGGGTCCCATTTTTCCTTTTTGCAAACGACTAAGTTTTTCAAATATTTCATGACCCTGCCATGAAATATTTGATTTTCTCATAACGTACATATACCAAAAATACATCTTTCCAATTCGTATATATTTTATTATAATGATAATAATAATTCAAGCAATGGTCATTATTGTATCTGAAGGATCGAACGTCCATTTAGAATGACAACAATGACTCATAGCTTCTGCATTGGAAATTACTTTTGTATCACTGAAATAACAAAAGTACTTCTCGCACAATAAACAATGCAGTGGATTTCCTAAGCACTGCCCATAATAACGTAAATATAACACGCAGAATATCCTATAGCAGTATTCATGAAGAACCTCTAGAATATTCTACAAGGCGAATAATAAACCAAAGGGGAAGAGGAATCGAATCAAAGATCTCTACCTTTTGATCCATACCAGGATATCCCTCCCGCTCGAACTCCTTAACCCTCGAGCCACGATTCGCCAAGGATTCCAGGATGCTTCTAAAGAGGAGAAAGTCAAAGATAGTAAGAAAAAAGAAATATTTTATCTCTACCATCCTGGATATCCTTTTCAGTGAAACGAATTCAAAAGCATATCGAATCTTGTCGTGCACCAAACCGAGGCGGATAACATCTTCTCGTAGTGGAGGAAGAAATAAAAAAAAAATATATCGGATAAAAATCTAAAGGGCAAGAATGGACTCCCTGATCTAAATTGAATAGACATTTCGTGATATATATCCAATATACGTATATGTATACATACATACATAGACATATATCTATATATGCATAGTCTGTAGGTAGCATCTAAATTCGAAAAGAACCGCCCACATAAGCTATAGCGCACGTCTCCATTATGTGTGGATAACATTTTACAGTACCTTGGATCCCAATCCAGGCTCCATCTACGTCGATCCCTTAAGAAAACCTTCTTACCGATTCCCTACTAACCGGTTTCTAACTTACGACCATATCGCGACTGTTTATGTACCGCGTAGCCAGGACTGATGCGATACTATCAAGAATGGTAACAGTAATGCTTAGATATACGTGAAGTTACCAAAGGAGGATTAACCAATTTTGGGATATAGTTGTATAATTTTTACTGTTCCATTCAATATTTCATAAGATACCCATATACATGTATTTATGTTGCTATACCGAAAATGATAATCTATGGATATGAATAATTAAGATTGTATAGTGTGGGATTTATGGACTGTCTATATGAAGATGTACTTGGATTTAGTATATCCTCGAGGGTTATAAGATACGACTACGTTTTAGATAGCCTATAGAAAATATCGTGTAGAAATATTGACCTTAAAATTGAAAGTATTTAATTTATTCATTCGATTTCTATGTTTCAGCATGAAAATTCAGCGTTGCACGAGGCTTCCTGGAGGGGTTATAGCAGAACTGTGGCGGTGCTTGCCAAGGCACTTGGTACTCAAAGGGCTCCTCTTCACGCCAGAAATCTTGCTGGATTTGCGCCACTTCATTTGGCCTGTCAGAATGGACATAATCAGAGCTGCAGAGAACTACTATTAGCCGGATGCAATCCGGATTTACAAAATAACGTGAGTTATATCCGTAGGGAATAATTGGTACTCAGTTCGTATACTCACTGAAATACACTTCGCAAATTGCCGACATTTACTGGCAATTAGATTGACGATTACTCTGTTAAAGGTGGCCGCGACTCTTATTATTCCCACGTAGGAAATGGCTCTTGCAATTAAGTCATTGAGAATTATCACGTGATCTTGTCTAATGCTATGCTTATCCGGAACTTGATCTAACGACACATACGTTGCATTAAGGTGTCGTTATTCGGTTGTCAGGGATTATTCTTCTTTTTCTAGTACGGTGACACTCCTCTTCATACATCAGCAAGATACGGACATGCTGGAGTCACCCGAATTCTGATATCCGCTTTGTGCCGTGTTTCAGAGCAAAATAAAGTAAGTGGAAAATATTTGAAAGGATGATGAAGAGACCAATAATTTACCAATGAGTCAAACAATTGCTAATCCATAATATTATTGATTTTTCTTGTCGTAGAATGGCGATACCGCCCTTCATATTGCCGCTGCGATGGGACGCAGAAAACTGACTAGGATCCTTCTGGAAGCAGGGTGCGACAGGACACTTCGTAACAAGCAGGCTGAGACTGCGAAGGACATAGCACGACGAAAGAATCTCAGCGAGATTCTGGTGATAATCAGTAAAGCTAGGAGCAGAAGTCGGGCACGGAGTAAGAGCAGAGAGGATGAAGTACCAGTGACGAAAGTTGAAGAGAAAAGTGGCAAGGGCGAGAAAAAGCGAGAGAAGACCGGAAGTGGAACAAGTGGAAGTAGAGATGGTGGTACTAAGAAAGAAAAGAAGAAGCACAAGGGAGGAAAGCAGCACAAGGTTCACTTTGAAAAAGCCATGATGGGAAGACAGTGGTCACCGTATGGCTGCCATTATTATCCTGATCCTGAAGCTTTTCCTCAACCTCGTCTAGACTCCCTGCCACCGGATCCTCTAGGAAGAGGTGAACAGTATTACCTGGACTTGGCAGGAAACATCAGAAAGGGTCCTGTAGGAGTTGGATACACCTGCTACTGTGCTCCATTCTTTAGACACATGGAAGCCAAACTGGAAAGAGATAAGGCCGAGTTGAAAGCTCACATTGATCAGGCCCACGAAAGACTCGACCTGAAGGTGGCTAACCTGGAGCGTAGAACTCGTGGGCAAATTTCGGAGTTGACAAGATGTGTGGCTGCAGAGAGATCACGATGTGACGAGAGACACTTGCATCTCCAACAGTGGCTATCCAGAGACGGTCATGGCAGACATAGTGAGAGGCCCATGAGAACGAACGTGATGAATGACCAAGCTGGACCCACTAGAGCTAGATCACTGGAGGATCTATTGGACGATAGGCCGCATGATCGTAGCTTTGAGATTCCTGGTGAGACTGCTATTCACAGTGGCAGCTTAGATGATTTGGATATACCAGCTATACCAAGACTCAGTAAATCTATGAGGGATTTACCTTCTGGATCTGGTATGTCCAGACCCACCCTGAGAGTACTTGATGTACCTGCAAGACTTAATGAGACTTTTGATGGGGTCGTTGGAAGGGAACGCTCTTCACCACTTGGTGCTATTTCGCCTTGTATTAGCTTAAGACAACAAGTAATGCATCAACAGGTAAATTATTGGTTAAATAATTACTCCCTGTAATTTAATGAAGTGATATGTTATTTTTTGTTCGATTCAGGCATCTTTACCCCACGATATAACTTCAAGTCCTTGTCAAGATGACCTAGAGGACCTTAATCAAATCCCAGAGGATAATCCCGAGGGCTGGAGATCCGCTCCAGGACGTCGTAGCGTCCATGAAATGATAAAACGATTTCAACAAGTACCTGGTATGCATAACGGATGGCGAGGTCCACGTTCCAGAAGTAGCGAACCTGCCAGTCCTGAACACGGTCAAACTTTAGTAAATCAAAGAGTACAACCACAGGGCGGACTGGGAAATGGTTGGCTTGGAGAAGGCCAAGGTATATAATATGTATATCTATATATTTAGTTACGTAATAAATACATTTTTAGCTGTAGATGATTTTTGATTTCAATGAAATAATTTTAGGTAATGACAGCGAAAGTAGCGAGGGAGAAGAGGATGTTGATGAACAATGCGAACAAGTTAATGGTGCATTAAATGCAAAGGGCGTGGTAGTATCTGAGAACGTGCATTGCGAAACAATTGCAAGAATGCCTTATAGATCGCGAAATGCAGTTTACAGCCCCACACCGCCATTGCACGATGCACATAACGATTCTGGTTACAGTACGCGAATGTACGGATCGAGTAAAGGTGCATCGCCATCTTTGTCGGGTAGGAAATTCATTGGATGATAACTCCACTTCTTAGAATAAGAAGATGAGAATATCGAGATAATCTCGAGTTGTAGATACTTTGTCATGGATACTTTATTCATCTTTGCAGGACAACTAGAATGCGATGTTATCCTGCCAGCATCGCAGGCACCGCCATTCCCAAGTGAACAGTTGGCTGCACTGCTGGAGCAACCACGAGGGCACGATTTGACTGTTTACGAAAGAGCTTCGGATAATATTATTAACATTGGTGCTGCGAGTCTCGTGTGAATTAAAGATATTCGATAAAAGTCCACACGAATGAATATTAATAATATTCATTGCGCGTTCCAAAGAGATACATTTTTTTAACTGAACTTTGAAATACCGCGAGCCGAGGATCAAACCGTTTAGAAAGAAATCTTAACTTGAACGTAGAAGTAATCTAGATTTATAAATATATCAATGTAACTTTACAATCTGTGTTCAAAAGTCCCTATTGTTTTATAAGGGTTATTCGGTAAGAATGCACCAACTGTCGGGGCGTTTGACCTGAATAATTCTAATTAAATCCTTTGACTTTGACTTTGTTACATTTTTTCCGTATGATGACTACAATGTATAAAGAGTTAGTCAAAATCTGACCCATCGATTATAAGCTGTAAAAGTGTATGTACATTTCGATGCCATACATAATATGATTATATTACAGTATAAGGAAGAACTATTTATTTTTGTGTGAATAACAGTATGTATATCGACCTTTTTTTTCATATATGTACGTACAATGTACTTTTTGACAACAATGATGAAAATACATTTTCAGAAAATCATTGTTCTCTACGTTTGTTTAGTTTTAAGTGTTTTACGTCATTTATTTAACTGCTCTGTGTTTTCGGTTATCACAATCCGAGATCGTGAATTCGCTGATGGATGAATGATACAATGGTATTCCCGTGAGTAGTTGCGAATTCGCATTGCAAATTTGAACAACCACATAATCGCCAGGCATTATCGATTTTGAATTTACACTATGACAATTCTCAGGTATTGCTCCATTTGGAATAATTACCTTCGTATTGCCGTCATTACGTCCTTGAAAATTATTTCCTCTTTTAGATATCTGCAAAAAAAGATATATCTATGACATTCGTGTTAGAGTTGCGTAACCTCCAATTCATGGTACCAATTAGTGAATCCTGATTAAGGCTTCCACGAAATTTGTTACAAAATATTAATTACCCCTTCTACGAGAATTAATTGTTGTTGTCCTATCTGAGCCTGGTTTATCTTCTCAACCTCTGTTCGGTAGAGCTGTATTAATTTTTTTAAGCGATACGATTTATCCTTTGCACTTACGTCGTCTTCATATCGTCTATGAGCTTTAGTTTTCTGTAAAAAAAATTGATTTATAATATTGTTTTGGAAATATTACTTTAACATTCTCATTTGGTAAAATAATCTTAATACCTCTCTCATACTGTATGCGAACATATAAGCCATATTGTATTTGACTATTTCCATTAATGATAATGTGTCATTAAATTCCTCTTCAGTCTCACCACAAAATCCAACAATAAAGTCACTCGTTAACGATACGTTTGGTATTATAGTGCGCACGTGTTCTACTAATTCTAAATATGCCTCTCTAGAGTATCCACGTCTCATGCGTTCTAAAATACGAGAATTTCCACTTTGTGCTGGCAAGTGTAAAGTGTTACATATGTTTGGTCGTTCAGCAATTAATTGTAATACCTCGTCAGGAAAATCTTTTGGATGCGGTGACGTAAATCTACATGACAATAATTACATAGGCAAGATTTAGATAAGAAAAATACAAGATTTTGTTGATCCTCACCTAATCCGCATTTCCGAATTGATAAGTGAAACTTTGTCCAGAAGATCACTGAATCTCAAGCCACCTATTTTACTCTTGTATACAGTTTTGAATCCTTTAGCTAGGTTCGTTACGTGTGTGGTACCCGTGAAAAATTCAGATTTGGAAATATCTCTGTAACTATTTACATTTTGACCTAGAAGTGTCACTTCTTTTACACCTTCGTCAGACAAATGGCGTATTTCATCTAAGATGCTAGTTATTGGCCGGGATCTTTCTCTTCCTCTGGTAAATGGTACTATACAATATGTACATATGTTGTCACATCCTCTCATAATGCTCCTAAAATTCGTAAAGTATTTTGTTATGGAATATAAATTGAAAAAATGTTTTAGTATTCTTTTTAAGTATAAAACGAAGAATGATGACTTACACGAAAGCTGTTACCGCATCTGGATTTAACCTAACAGGCATAACATCAGCATAAGTCTCATCGAATGACAGCATAACGTTAATAGCCATCTCGTTATTATCAGTAATAGCTAGTAGCCGTGGCAAATCTTTATAGCTGTCTGGTCCAGCTACCAGATCGACTAGTTTATTCTTCTCAACCACTTGTTGCTTTAATCTTTCAGCCATGCAACCTGAAATAAATAATTATTAACTATAAAAATCGAGTGATGTTGCATTTCTATTATTGGAACTTACCTAATAAACCAATCCTCATCTCTCTCTTCAATATTTGTTTTTTCTTTAACTTGATACTTTTTATATATTCTAATCTCTTCCATACTTTCTGTTCTGCACCATCTCTGATAGAGCATGTTATCACTAGTACTACATCTGCATCAAGTAATTCATCAGTTTTTGAATAGCCATTTGCTTCAAGTATGGACCAGATTACTTCAGTATCATTTACATTCATTTGGCACCCATAGATGTCAAAGTATACTATAATAATCAAAATTTGTAACTTTGAAGATATGTTGGAGAAATTGCATTTGTTATTTTATTAATACCTTTGCGATTGTTTCCATGAAAAGGTTTTACATATGGAATCTGCTCAGCTTCAGTAGAAAGTTTTGAACTTCTTTTATCATTCAATATAAAGTCAACCAAATCTGGTCCTTCAGCAAAGTTAATTTTTTTAATTTTTTTCTTCTCAGATGAACTTTCTGCTTTATTGATAGCACCACAAAAATGTCGAGTTGCATTATGAATATTAGATCTTGTATTAAAACTGTGCAAAGCTAAAGACTTTTTCTCTAAGATACAGTGCCTTTTATGCCAGTGTGTGGATAAATTGTAAAATATCTTTCTAGATATTCCGAAGGTAGGACTACTCGAAATGCACCTTACTCCACTCATAGTGTTCTATAAGTTACATAACGATTACAACCTAAAAGAACAAACAATCGTAATTATTGCAATGAGCTTAAAGCTAGGTTAAAACACTTGACATGTTGAAGCATTCCCATGGAATAAATTCATGTACCTCTTTACCTCTCTTAATAATACTATACTCACATATAATCAAACTAAAATTATACACATTTAAATACATTATTAAACTTCAATACTCACAGAAATATATTTTCATACGATAAAACAAATGCTTTTCATCAAACTGAAAGCATAAACACGATTTATAAAATGCAATAAAATAAGTCAGAAATACTTTCATGAAGCATGACCAGAAATGAGTAGAGATGCACAACAGAGATGAATAGGGAGATGCACAACGCTACGGTTTTAGGCGATACCAAAATTATGGCGCTAAATCGTAGCGGCGAGTCTGGAAGTAGGATTTAGTGATCATCGCCTCCGTCGATAAAGCAGATCACGAACGTGTAGCTTGGCAAGCAGTGGCTCTTCGCTACTTACCGCTGGTTCCCGAAACAGCACTTACAACGAGGCAGCTCAAAGAATATAGCCTAAATATTTATTTCCTTTACAATCCTAAGTTCGAGCGTAATGCGTAAGCTCGGTTGTCATATGACAAAAGTCAGCAACTCATGCCTGCCTGGCATTTCACGGATATTGCGCAATAAAACTATTGTTATAACCAATCAGAAACTATAGAACTCCTCCAGAACTATTTAAAAAGCATATTGTTGAATCAATTTTAAGAGATTTTAATAAATTGCGGTGCTTTACCTGACCCGCGTGTAGCACCACAATTTTTGGAAAATTCGTGTTTTAACGATGTTACACAGCAGAACTATTGTAACAACCTATCAGGAACTGTAGAACACCTCGAAAACTATTGAAAAAGCCTATTGTTGAATAATTTTTAAGAGATTATAAAAAAGTGCGGTGCTGAACCTGGCACCCGTGAAGCACCTCAATTTTTGGAAAATTTGTGCTTTGAGGACGTTACGTTGCAGAAATATTTTAAAACCTATCGGAAACTATAGAACTCTTCGAGAACTTTTGGAAAAGCCTACTGTTGAATCATTTTTAAGAGATTTTAAAAAAGAGTACGTAGCAGAACTATTGTTAAAACCTATCGGGAACTATAGAACTCCTCGAGAACTATTGAAAAAGCCTACTGTGGAATCATTTTTAAGAGATTTTTAAAAAGTGTGGTGCTGGAGGTGACACCCTTGTACCACGTGAAGCTGACGCCTATACGCCGATGATAACGACGACCACGACGATAATTACGACGACGCAGGCGCAGGCGAAATCTGGTATGCGCAGGCGCTGGTCAAAATTCGTATGCGCATCCGCAGGTCAAAATTCGTATGCGCAGGCGCAGGATCTTAAAAATGATTCAACAGTTGGCTTTTTCAAAAGTTCTCGGGGTGAGCTATAGTTTCCGATAGGTTTAAAAATAATTCTGCTCCGTAACATCGTTAAAACCCAAATTTTCCCAAAATTGACCACGACGATAATTACGACGACGCAGGCGCAGGCGAAATCTGGTATGCGCAGGCGCAGGTCAAAATTCGTATGCGCAGGCACAGGTGCAAACGCCTATACGCCAACGACGAAGCCATTATCGTCGTGGTCGTCGTTATCATCGGCGTATAGGCGTCAGCTTCACGTGGTACAAGGGTGTCACCTCCAGCACCACACTTTTTAAAAATCTCTTAAAAATGATTCCACAGTAGGCTTTTTCAATAGTTCTCGAGGAGTTCTATAGTTCCCGATAGGTTTTAACAATAGTTCTGCTACGTAAAATCGTCAAAACACGAATTGTCGTTGTCGTCGTCATTGTCGGCGTATAGGCGTCAGCTTCGGTGTTCGCGTAGAGGCGTTTGCACCAACCCTTGTACCACGTGAAGCTGACGCCTATACGCCGATGATAACGACGACTACGACGATAATTACGACGACGCAGGCATAATTGCGACGACGACATTCGTATGCGCAGGCGCAGGCGCAAATTCGTATGCGCAGGCACAGGCGCAAATTCGTATGCACAGGCGCAGGCGCAGGCGCATACGAATTTTGGCCTGCGCATACGAATTTTGACCAGCGCCTGCGCATACGAATTTTACCTGCGCCTGCGCATACGAATTTTGACCTGCGCCTGCGCATACCAGATTTCGCCTGCGCCTGCGTCGTCGTAATTATCGTCGTGGTCGTCGTTATCATCGGCGTATAGGCGTCAGCTTCACGTGGTACAAGGGTGTCACCTCCAGCACCACACTTTTTAAAAATCTCTTAAAAATGATTCCACAGTAGGCTTTTTCAATAGTTTTCGAGGAGTTCTATAGTTCCCGATAGGTTTTAACAATAGTTCTGCTACGGAGCTGCCTCGTTGTAAGTGTTATTTCGGGAACCAGCGGTGAGTAGCGAAGAGCCACTGCTTGCCAAGCTACACGTTCGTGATCTGCTTTATCGACGGAGGCGATGATCACGAAATCCTACTCCCGGACTCGCCGCTACGATTTAGCGCCATGCTTTTGGTATAACCTAAAACCGGAGCGTTGTGCATCTCCCCACTCATCTCTGTCTATGCATGCTATATGTCGATGTGGATAGCAGCATTTATGGTTCTGGACGTGTCGCCTTACTGATTCGATTGGCTAATCAAAGAAGACTCTACGCACTCTACGTCTAGAGTCCAGCATAATCTTTCCAACCTGACTTTAGGACTAGTTACTGGCACATCTCCTCATTGGAGGAGTCAGCCATAAGGAAAGGAAGGAAGGAAGGAAGCATTTATGGTTGACGGATTACTCGCATGGTTTCCTGTGCTCCGAAGAGCAACACGTGCATGAGGATCAAGCATTAGAATATTCACTTCTTTCAACAATAATTTTTTATTGTTTGTTAATTAAATCTCAAAAATTAGTGCAACAACGTATTGTAATAATGGAGTACATGACGAATATTGATGACCCTGTAAAAGAAACAGCAAGGATGTATGTCGACATTTATTACACTACATATATATTTGAAGAAAACAGATTTTTAAAATTAATTTTATTTATTTAGATTATGCTGTGAATGCGGGGTATCGATTGAACCAAATCCTGCGAACATGTGCGTAGCATGTTTAAGGTCTCGTATTGATATTACAGAAGGGATTCCAAAGCAGGCCACACTACATTTTTGTAAAGGATGCGAGAGGTATAATTTTATCGTACATAACAAATTTTAACATCTTTATTACTTTTGTTAGATGGTAATTTTTATAAATTGAATGTATTTATTCCAGATACTTACAACCTCCTGCTGAATGGATTCATGCACCATTGGAATCACGGGACCTTCTGTCATTATGCTTAAAGAAATTGAAAGGTCTCAGTCGTGTGAAACTTGTAGATGCTGGATTTGTATGGACTGAACCTCATTCCAAAAGGCTTAAGGTATAGCAAGAAAATCATATCTAATTGCTAATCTATAGTTAAACTTCACTTATTTTTGATTAGGTAAAACTCACTGTGCATGCAGAAGTTATTGGGGGTGCAATATTACAACAAGTCTTTGTTGTTGAGTACATAGTTAATCATCAGATGTGCGATGATTGTCATCGCACAGAAGCTCAAGATTACTGGCGTGCATCTGTAAGTTTGTTGTACAATATATTACTTGATTCTTATTTTTTGTTGGGTAACATCTAGTGAGTAACAATATTGCGACAATTGTAGGTTCAAGTTCGTCAAAAAGCTATAAACAAAAAGACATTTTTCTACTTGGAACAACTTATTTTGAAACATAAAGCTCATGAACAAACATTGGGAATTAAACCTATTCATGGTAAGATTATGAATTTGAATAATAAAGATAGTTTATTATAATTCTTTTTTAAAAATATTTCTCTTTTACATTCAGAGGGTCTTGACTTCTTCTATGCAAACGAAGCAGCAGCTAGGAAAATGATTGATTTTCTAGTAGCAGTGCTGCCATGTCGCTATCAACATTCTAAGAAATTAATTTCCCATGACATCCACAGTAATATATACAACTATAAATTTACATACAGGTACAGTTTTGAAAAACCTACGTATGCAATTTACCTAAAACGTTATTTAAATAACTTCTAATAATTTTAGCGTTGAAATAGTACCAATTTCAAAGGACAGCATAGTCTGTCTTCCTAAAAAACTGACACAACAGTTGGGTGGAATCCATCCTATTTGTCTTGTCTACAGAACGACCAATTCTATTCATCTTATGGATGTATCCTCTGGTCAAAGTATGTAAAAGATAATATTATCCATTACAAAAGAAAATTAGAAATATAATTAATTTCACAATATTAAATTAACAGTTGCTGAAGTCAGTAGCACCGTATACTGGCGATATCCATTCAACAGTATCTGCAATCCAAAACAGTTAACAGAATACGTAATAATGGATATTGAACCAATAAAAAATAAGGATAAGAAAGTATTCCCAGGACAAGGAGCAATTTCGAACAAAGTAATAATTTCACTTATAATTACCTGATATTAAAAAAATTAGGTACACAATTATTCCTATTCTAATTACTTTTCAGCACATCGTAGCAGATGTTTGGCTGGTCAAAGCATCTGAGTTGGGTATAAATGATAACACCATCCACACACGTACTCATTTAGGTTATATACTTAAACCTGGTGATTCAGCATTGGGATATGCAATTGGTGACAGTAATATTAATGACATGAACTTTGATAAATTAAGCCGGGATATAGTGCCAGATATAATCCTGGTGAAAAAGTTTTACGGACACGATAAGGCAGCCAGACGTCGAGCAAGAGTATGGAAGCTAAAGCATCTTGCCGAAGAGGTGGTTAGCATGAGTACAGAGAACAAGTGAGTGTTATATTTGTTACTATCATATAAATTATTTTATAACCTCAAATCACAATTTACTTATATAATCTTTATGTTATTTAGTGAATATAATGAATTCTTGGATGAATTGGAGGAGGATCCTGAGATGCGGCAAAATATAAATATATTCCGAGATTCCAGTAAACAAATCCCAGTGGATTCTAGCGAAATGGATCCCAGCATACCACGGATTACTTTAGAAGAGATGTTGGATGATCTTGTGATTGATGATACAGAAATGGGAGAAGCATACCAATAACTGATAAAAAAATACGGTGAAATAAAAAGATGATATCGAAAATGCTAATGATACTGTTCATAAATAATAGAATGCTTACATAATTTAAGTGTTAAATATAATTCCATATTAAAACATTTGCTCTTAAATATAAATCTTTACTGTAAACTTGAAACGAATTTTGGACCAAAATATACATTATAAATGAGGTGTGTTTAAGGAAGAAAAATTATAACATTCTTAATTGACCATTTGCGGCATTCTAACATTTGGAAGGAGCAAATGGTATATTGAGGCCGATCTGTATGTATACGTCATACCCGTCCCTCGCGGCGGTATCCTCATAGACGTCCCTGTGCTTGTGCAGGTTACTTCTCAAGTTTTTCGAATGTAAAATTATGATGAACGCAAGATTTGTGAAACTTTAATAAATCAACCTTTAATTGTCTTAATGGCAACTATGTATATATGTACAGGAATTTAATTTATTACGATAACACTTGAAGACAGATGAGTCGATTAACAAGTATTTACAATGATGATCTACATTTTTATAAAAGTCGTATTTAATTATTATTTACTACTATTGTAACTGAGCCAGATTACATTAGGAGTCTTTAAAAAATCGTCCTTTGGTTGTTTGTCTAGGGCACAAATCTAAAATAATACAAGTTTCATTGACAAAGATATAAATTATTCATGGACCTCTTAATGAGTTTACTTACCTGTTTTCGAACGTAAATAACTAGTTTCTCTACAGCTTCCGGATCGTTGGATTCTGATTGTAAGAATCTCCTCCATACTGCACCAGCCAATACTTTGTCATCAGATAATAGCCCTTCGTCATAGCCAATTATTGCTGCATTAAACTGTTGTGAGATTTCAGTTAACTGTTTGTTTAAAACTGCAGTAGCAATAGGCTGGAAAAATATATTTATATGAATGCTCATAATCCAATCACACACTGAGTTTGAAATATAAGAAGTATTGTTCAAAGCTTACTCCAAGCTTTTTTATTCGCGTATTTGCATCTGCCCACATTGATGAAACAATTTCATTTCTAAGAAAATGACCCTCTTCACCTTCGGACATAGTACGTACCATCAACATCCAAACGTGTAATTCCGTTATAAGAAACCACGAAAAAAACGTATCTGACATGTTAAAATCTAATGAATAAGATCAGATAGTCAATATACAATTTAAGAATTCTGCTACTTGTATTATGAATTATTATCATTGTACAAACCTTTGAAAAATTTTAAATAATCAATGTTTTCAGCGACACTCTGGTACAATAGTACTCCATTCAATCGGAGTTTCTACAAGATGGTCAGAATCAGACTATAAACATGTATAATTATTGAATATAAATTTAAAGCTACTCACATATGTGGATATATCAAAGAAACCCAGTTTTTTAAAGACTCTTCTATAGATTGATGGTTTTTCAACAGTTTCTATGTTTCCAACACTATCCCATAAAGACTTTGATGAATGAATTGTTCTTTGGAAATAGGATGGTAATATAATAGAAGGTGCAGTTAACGTAACTATTCCAGATGAAGTAACATTACAAGACAAGGTAGCTGCTATCTGTAATGAAATAATTAGGCTTATGGAAATATTGCGTTATAATTAAAAATATTTGTATACAATCTTATAATCAACAGTAATTAACCATGTGGTATGAATGTTAAACTCTAGAATAACCAAAGGTTATGAAATTTCTACTATACACCTTCATAAGAGTACAAACCTTTCTTGATGGAAATCGTAATATCTGATACATAATGTATCATTTATTCAGTGACTGTTCATTGAAGAAAAAAAATACTTAGTCAAAATAAGAAAAGCTCAATTAAGTTCACTTTGGTAACTAAAGTGCTGCCTGGGTAAATTTTTCATTACACGGTGAACATAAGAACTTCTATCAATTCTACTAAAAAATGGAGGTCAACTGCTGATCGAACTTATGGATCGCTGCTCCGTTTAGCATCGATTTCTTTGTTATTTAATTACGGATTCCTTTGATAATCATCGAAATTGGTAAATATATCTTTGATATTGCGGTAAACCAAAAAATTATTACGATGAAAATTGATTTTCATAGGGTAAATTGAAGGAGAGACGTGAGGTGCTCGTACCTTCTTTAGTACCTTTAAGAATGTTATCAGTTTTTCCAGACTTCCCCTAACTTGATACTCACATTTTACCTAACATTAGGAATTTAGGATATATATAATACATTCATTTTCATACATATCCAACTGTGATGACCTGGTTAATATATTTTTACTCTTCTTGTTCAAGAGTACATAAACTCTTTTTATAATTGTAAGAGTTAGTAATAGGAATGTTTCCAATTCTTGGGTTTGGAAGTTGATTGTAATTCTCTTTATTCATGGTGCATCAGATTTTATTATAATTCCTTTATTCCACCTTTGTATGTACAGAGATACAGCAATAAATACTGTAGTATATTTAAAAATATTGAAGTTTTTGTTTTGGACTATTCAGAAATTTTAACGTAAGGTGGTTCAATCGAAGTGTTTAATCTGTGATGTTCTTTTTAGAAAATGAAGACTTTAAAAGCTAAACTAAAAGCTAAGAAGAATAGTGGAAAGTTTTCTACAATTAAATGCACGGCAAAAGATGCATCGTCAAGTTTAAGTTCGAGTTCAGATTTGTCTGAATTACGTAAACCTATTGATATTAGCACATGCAGTTTATTACAAGTAACGAAACTTCTTGACACTGGAAGTGATGAGATTCAAAACATATTAGCATATGAATGTGATATTATATATGAGTGCCGTATTTGCAAAAGCTTATTTCGGAGCTTGGTAAATTTTATTTCCCACAAAAGAGTATATTGTAAAGAAAAATATAATATATTTAATAGGAAAGCAATGGATAACATTGTGGTAAGTATAAGATAGTTTAATGTATGTCCAAAAAAATATTTCCACTCCTTGAATCAGCATCGTATTTTCCAGGGTAAAAAGACTTTGGTTGATTTGGAACCTCATATGGATGTAGGGTTTAAAGAAAATGAATCTAATGAAAGGATGCTGAGAAGTCAAGTGCTACAAAAAGATTCGAATTTAGATCTTACATCTGTAATGGATATAATTCAGGAAAAAAAATGTGAACATACTGAAAGTTCTAACCTCAGAGCAAATGAATATAAAAGCAAATCCACAGAGATTATATCTGATAATCAACAAATACTCTTAGAAGCTTTAAGCTCAAGCCAGTCAGCTGTGTATCAGACAGTTAGGGAGAATACTGCAGATCTTATGAAGGCTCAAGTGAATATTGAATATACCTATGATTGTCTATTTCTTTAATTGTATAAATATTATAATAATATAAACTTCTTTTAGATTATAGAACTTCAAAAAATAATGAATAAAAATACTGCTGTCCTTGGACCAAATGGACGATGCATCGAAGTTAATCAAGTCGAAAAGACTGATAATAATTTCCAGTCTTGTGATAACAATGACAATATTGAAATATCTGATGCAAATGCAACTGATGAATTAATTTGTCCCATTTGTCAGTGAATTGATTGACAAAATTTTTATTTTCATTGTTACACTCATTATCATCATTGCTACTTAATATTAATTATTTTGTAGGTAAAGGAGAATTTGCAACAAAGAAAACTTTGGCCCATCATGTAAAATCTCAACATACGTCGTATAAGATGATTTATTCATGTCCTTGTTGTCCTAACTCATTTAGAAATACATGGAGTGTTTATCGTCACTTATACAAAGGTAAGAAGATTACTTATAATGATTATTAAAATAATAACTCCAATCAATGTCAATATCAAATTTTCATTTACAGTTCATAAAAAGTCTAACGAACAGGTGAGAAAATTAAGAAATCAAATTCAAGATAAGGCATATCGCAAAGTATGCATAGAAGACCAGCAATCAATACAGAAGTGTGGACTGAATAGTAAAGATTGTAATCAGAGGAAGAAACTGACTGATGAAAATCAGGTACTTCATTCATATAATACAAAAATGTACTGACATTCCTCACTGCACATGCAATCAAAGATTATATAATTTCTAATAAGATCTGTTATCATTCATCAGGAATGGATGAATCAAGTAGAATCTGATGCAGAGCTACAACGTTGTGGAGGTTGTGGCCGACGATTTGATAGAAAGGCGGCATTACAATCTCATTTGCAACTTTGTCAACGTCGAATAGCAGTTTGTAACGGAGCTGCTAATAAGGCTAAAAAGTCAGGAAAGATACCATCGGTGGACAATGTGTTCATTCATAATAATTCAGCAAAATTAATAGCTGAGATGCATGATGAAGTTCCGCATACGAGTACAGCGGATACAAAATCCTCTCCGGTAAAGGGTGACCCCAGCACATGGACCGAAACTGAATCACAAGTTGCTGGAATGGATTTCTCAAAATCCAGTGAAGAGAATGAATTATCGATTCGTGTCGATGAGGTTTCGACTCTCAGTACAGCAGACTGGGAAATGTTAGGTGTAAATACGTTTTGCGAAAAAGAGGAGAGCAGAATTAATTCAAATAAATCAACTTCAAACGAATGTTATGATAAGGAATCTTGCTCTGTTACAAACATTAAAGATCTTCCTACTCTTGCGGCTGCACCAGACTCTCCAGAAATTCTTTATACTCGTATCAATGCTTCCCCACCAAATTCAGTAACTGTTGGTTCAAAACGACGAAAAATTGATACGATTGATGGTGGGAAAGAATTCGCTATAGGTTTGTTAATTATTAAAATGAATGTTTATTAATTGATTTAGATATTTTGTAAATGAGATATGTATTTTAATGAAATGTTTTTTTATTGGTTTCAGAGAGTGAGATTTCCCTACAACAAAAGAGTCTTGCTCTGCCTAACAATTCTACAAGTATAACAAGTAGTACAAGTACTAAAAGTAGTACTACTACTGCTGTTGAGTCGTCGTTCATTGCAAAAAACGATAACGTGGATAATTCCAAGATGGATAATTTCAGTTCAAAATATGATATAAGCAGAATATCTAATATTCGCAAGTTGCAGTGTTTAAAATGCAGAAGAAAATTTTCGTCGATCACAAATTTGCGTAGACATATGGCGATACATATGGGCTGGAATCGATATAGCTGCGCGTTATGTGACTTTAAATCGTTTGTCAAGTGCGATTGCCTCGCACATTGTAATAAAGTGCATGATGCAAAAAATAATCAAGGTCTGTTAGAACAAATTGTAGTGCCAATATCTCAAGTGGAAGGTTCACCTAATCAGCCACTCATCATTGACATTGCTACTATGGAAGATGCCTCTGCTGATCCTGAAATTATTACTACAACAGCTCATCAATCTAATGAACATGATCATAGTATTTCTAATAATACTACACATGTTGATAAAGTCGATGCTATGAAAAAAACTACATTTGCTGCTGAGAAAAGGTCGTTTGAAGCTGAAAGTAATTCAGGTGAGATGAGTCATAAATATTTCTATAAAATTCGTAATAAATACAGTGTAGATGCATAAAGTATGTATATTCTCATTAGCTACACTGGTTGGGAGTAATAATGGAACTCGTAATATGTCTCGAAATAATTCTTTCGAGGAAACACAAGAGAGTCTTCAAAGAGAAAATGAAAGTGAATCAGACTGTAATGACAGTAAGAATGCCGAACAAGAAAGAAGTAAGATGAGTCCAGAGAAGTTGCAATATATAAATAACAGGAGTCCACAATTTTTAGCTCAAAGTACTTTGGATAAAAATCCTGACTTAAAGCGGATGGTAATGGAAGTAATTTTTGGCACAGTAGAAACAGCTGATGTAAGCAATTCCGATAAGATTCAGATAGATCCCGCATTTAAGATCATCACAGAAGAAAAAGTAACGAATAATGAAAGTATGAAAGCCATTAAAATGGCAAGTATGAAAGATGATAACAATGAGGAAACATTGAATAATGAGGTAGTGAAGGAAGAAAATGATAAGAAGGACCAGGAATCATCGAAAAAGGATGACTCAGGGAATAAACAGATTTTTAACCACGATGATCAGCCGCGACCGCAAAGGTCTATGCGTCGTATAAAATTCGTGAACAAAAAATATTCTTCCTATTTGCCGGAACAAACGTCACGTAGTGATAACATCCAAAAAAGTGTTCCGTATTCTTTAAACAAGAGTGTCAATGCTAAGTTATTAACTGATAAAATACCTACAGTAGTTATTTGTCGAGCTGACACTGTCCGAGGACTTTGCAACATCAAAAAGATTATATGAATACCAAGTATTGTTAAGAATACCAAGGTATAATATACAGGGTGTATCTTAAGCCCCGGACAAGAGACATACCGTTAGATCCTGCGCGAAAAAATAAAAATATTGGCGTTAACAAAAATCAAAAATTTTAATCAGTTTATTAATTATTAAAGATTAAAGTAAGCCAATAATATGCGCGTGAAAAATGGTAACTCCTCAGTCTCCGCCCATTGGGGACAGCTAATCATTTATTTCCCCACAATAACAGTGACCGATGGATACGTAAATATAGTAACGTCAATAAACAAAAGAGTAACGCAAATAAACAAAAGAATAGTGTAAAATGTTTTTTCGTGGGGAAATAAATGATTGGCTGTGCCCAATGGGCAGAGACTGAGGAGGAGTTACCAGTTATCACGCGCTTATTATTAGCTTACTTTAATCTTTAATAATTAATAAACTAATTAATATTTTTGATTTTTGTTAACGCTAATATTTTTATTTTTTCACGCAGGATCTAACGGTATGTCTCTTGTCCGGGGCTTAAGATACACCCTGTATAGTAGTATACTATAGCAAAGTTATTGATAAACAATACTATATTACCATAGCCATTGATCAATAATTTTTATTCTACTACTGGTATATTAGTTTACTGTGACCCTAATATAATTCAAATATCAAAAATTTAAGCTTAATGGACCATCCTATAGTCAATTATATGTTAATGGGAAATATCGTCAACGATAAAATTATTATCAATAAGTTGTGGGTATACCATTTATCTTTGTTACATACATATGGTTATTCAGTACAAACGTACCACGTGAAGGTGATTCTACCAGAAAAGTCAAATGAGCAGACTAACTTCAACTGGCGTGTTTATACTAAATAACTTTGTACAAATTCAATGGAGTTCGTGTAATATATTATTGTAGTCATAAAAACGAAAAAATTATACCCATCTAAGGTAAATTACATGAAACCAGAGTGTGTTGTGTGATAACTCGTTTGTATATCATACAAAAGTCTTAGATTCATTGATACTCCAGAAACCTCAGCCCTACATTTAAAAGAAAAATACCATACTCGTGTGCTGGACATCATTCGCATTATTATTTATGTATAGAATCTTACGAAAATCATAAAATATAATTTAAGTTGAGAAACAAAAAATTTGAAATTCATCTACAAGAAAATTCAATAAATTATTACAATTCGAATATTTCTGGTTCTAGTTGCATTGACAAACTTATCAATAATATAATAGAAAGAATAAGTTGGAATTTATCTTCTGTTGATAATTTACCAATTACAGTAGACAAATCTGATTTTATAGCCCGATCGGTAAATTCATCAGACGCCACGATAGTAGCGACACACTGGTGCGTGTAAGCGCGCCATTCCTGTCTGGACGAAACGAACGGAGACGAGAAAGAGGAGCTCGCAGATGCACGGCAAACGGCGCCGGTTATAGAGGGTATTTTGTGAGTCGTTTGTTACGCGAAAGTACAACGCGAATGCAGATACATTTGACGCAAGCTAAACATAAGCCTTTAGCTCTTGCACGCTCGGATAATTTAACGGTTTAAATTAGAACGCTCTTGTGTTTACGGATGACAGTGTGAATAAGTGTTTTGTGGTGGAAATTACAAGAAGAGAGTTGAGTTTCGATCTTATCCAGAGGGTGAGTTGCTATGTGATAAATCACTTGTATGCACTCGCACGAAATAGAAGAAAAACAAAATACGTGTAGAAGGGAAATTTGAAAGTGACCGTTACAAAAGATTTCAAACTTATCACGTGGTGTTTTTTTTACCTAGAATATGAAATTGCTGAAAAATTATTCATAATGAAAAACCATATATTGAACATATAAGTAATGCGTTAATAACTTGTTTCCATGAAGTCACACGGTAAATCCGTACGTGAATTTTATTTTACAGTAAAATAAAATAGAGTCCAATACAATTTAACATTTTTCGACGAAGCATAATAATATTTCGAAAAAAATTAGAAAACCCATCACGATCAATCTAGTATTTCAACACTCATATTTAACCACGGAAATCATTTGTTATGAATTTCGAGGATCCTTTATTCTACGATGTAACTGATGCGTGCAACAAGGAATTTATATGTAAAGCCTTTAATTAATGTTACGCCACTTGTTGCTGTGACCAGGCATGACTTACGCGAGACAATTCTTTTATCATGTTTCTATTCTTTTCCAATTACACAAGTAAAGTCGTGCCTCCGCACGAGCAAATAACCGTCTCTCCACGGTCCAGTGAATAAATTACTTGAAATTCAAAGATCGATCAAGCGGTTACTCTGTAAGTAATTATCAGTGTAAATATACAGCGCCGTTCGATCTAAACCATATATACCCAAGTTTATTCCAAATAGAAGGGATCAGTAGCCGACTGGATATAAGCATGCGTTAACGGACTCTAGAATAGTTTTAAAGTAATAAAACGAAAGGAGGAAGGGCGAGAAGAGGCGTATGTGGACACGCACGTTGAATTACGGCTCATCAGAGCAACACCATAATAATGTTCATTCACAAAAAATTCCTAGTTAAGATACCTTTAAGGCCTGTTGGCTGTCACATTCCTGGCTGTTCTTCCAAGGATAATATTTTTCGTAGCCGCCTATTTCGTTTGAAAAATAAAAATAATACGTACAGTTAATTTTTCAATATTAATTATAATACCAAGTGCTGTAAGCTAGACAATTAACGAGTATGATTTAATCGTTTGAATATTAATATCGCTTAGAAATAGAAAGGATTCTCTGTAATATGAACGTACGTACTTATTAGGTTATGTACCTACTTCATACGTAGTTTGAATTTGACCTTAATAACACAACTCATTTACTCATTACCCCAACTTGTCAGTATGTAGGTTAGAACTGCGTTAGTAACTGCTCTCGTTTGAGTCTGAGGGAGCAACGTTTATGATTCCTTTACAAGAGCATTTTGACTTTCTGCACGCCGTAACGTCCGACTGTTTTTCTAATATAAAAGGTAGCATGAATGTCACTAGAGAAGCATTTATAATCGTGTCTCCGGCACACGTGAATTTACTTTACTACAAATTTCAGTCGTTTACCTATTTTAGCTAATACGTATTCATGTGGTTTTTGGCAGCATTTATAATTTTCAATATAATTTCTACGAAGGCTGTGTATGTATGTTTGTACACAGCGAGCCAGAGTTTTAATGTCTACAGTATACGAGTAGCATACCTGCATTCTATGGATTGTTTCTATCACGCGAATCGTAGGATTTACCGCAGTAAGAAATCTTAGAGGTTACATAATCTGTATATGAATAATTTCAAATGTCCCACTTAATTACATTAATCATTTCCTTCCTGACGTCAGATCTGTCTTCGATTCTTTACAACGTGTGTAGTTTACAGTACATAAGGACATAATGGAAGTCGCTTGAGATTCTTTTGAATGCGTGCAGCGTGGAAAAAGCTATTATAACTACGAGTAACGATCGCGAGAGTACGATGTGTATCATTGGAATTTATGACAGTACCGTTATTATTAGTATGTAGTATGCAGGTGAGAAACTTTATTAAAAATCGCACGCTTGCGCGTGTAGTGTTCTTCATTTGTAGAAGAAAAACAAAAATACTAGTTAAACTCTCATTTACGATTTGAAGCGACCATCAAATCTTTGACTTCCGGTGTTAATAATGGGTTCCATGTACTGCGTTATTTTTTTTACGTCCATTTCACGAAATCGTATTGCATCAGAGTACGTGACCCTATATATTTTCTGCTTGCGGTTGTCGCTTTTTGTAACGGCGAATTACTGACCGAATGACGTAACCTAATTTTTATAAATTTTACAAACCGTTAGCTGGCACCAAGGAAATATTTTCGGTTCATCCAATAATTAGTGTCCGACGTTTTTATAGCTCGCGATGCTTACCTGACTAACGCAGTAGGTAAAGCACGCGCTAATCAAGCTAACAATGTTTCATGTGTTATATTAAAAATATAAACGTTGCTTTCAATGACAAATGTACTCGAGGATAAAACATACGCATGATTCATTCACAACTGGACACACCACATCCTCAAGAATTCTGACGTAAATGCACAGCGTAAAATCCAGTGTTAAACATTGACTCGCGTAGTTTATTCGTCATGTCAAACAAGTAACTTATACCTATCCATCTATAAAAGATCATAATCCTCTTTACAGGGACAGCTAAGTTTTTTTTTTATTAAAAGTTATTCGATCAATTTTTTTTTACAAAAAATCTTACGGTACCACGTAATCTATGCATATAACTGGATATTCGAAAATTTTTATCAAGTCATCATTACACGTGCTTACTTTTCCATGTTAAAATGCCAGTCAGTCAAGTCTGACTTTTCTGACAACCTTTCTCCTGCAACGGGTAAAAGACTTTCTATGAAAATGCATTTACGCATAGCAAAGCCGTTACACCTCGTAAAGAAATACACATTGTCAAAGTAAATCAGTGGAAGTCTTGCTCTTGCATCGTGAACGCCGCCTTATGACTGATTAGGATGAAGTTGCAATTCTCATTTATCCAGGTATCACATTATCGTTAGTAATTCTAATGAGTGAATGGTACGCGACCTCTCTGATTGCAGTTAGAAATACATAGGCACAGAAGGGATTTGTTTTTCCTGGTAAGTGTACATAGATGTTACTACTAGACCGAAAGCATTTGAGATATTTGTAAATGCAAATATTAAAATCAGTGCGTGTATATATATATATATCAGAGGTACTGTACAGTAAATACATATTGAACTGGTTTTAGACCTCTTGAGCATTACCCTGTGAGTAAACTCGAGGTAAATACTTTTGAAGTATAAAATAAAAGTATAAGTATATAATCGATATTCAGATTAGAATTGGAAAATTGGGAAATATATTATTTCACAAATATATTTGACTTCTAAGCCCAGAAGAAAGTGAGGTTAAAGAGTATTTGAATTTATCAGCAATGCTTCTCGAATACGTTAAACGTCTGATCAAGCAGTTAAGAAAATGTCTCTAGAACGAATGACGTTTCTCACGTCGTCTACAAGGAATTAGACATCTGGTCCGACATGTCGAAGAGTCAGAAAGATCAGTGAACGTAAGTAAGTAGGTATACACGGCTCTCCTCGTGCGTACAAAGAGAAGGGAGACCATCTCGTTCCAGACAGAGTAACTTTTTTACATAAATTTTTTGCTCCCAACCCAAAAGGCAGAAGGCGCCATACTCGGTAATCACGAAGGCACGTTTTATACTAGTCGAGAAATGACCGCTGGTCCGTCGTCAAATAATGCTAAAAATCGTATCTATTCTGATAATATTTTTTTTTCGTTTTTCACACTACAAGCTATCGTAGATGTATACGTATTATCCTTTGAGTTAAACGTGACTAGAGATCCGTGTGCTGCTACTCGGTCTCAGTTCATCCTCAATTATGGTCTGTTCCTGGTGTGTTATATATATACATATACGTCTTTACGGTCGGAGTTAAGACGGTGTAATCAGAAGGAACCAGGAATTCCATTGGAACCGTGGTATTTCGACTGAGCTCTCGAACACTTTGATACCTGGACTATAACGTGATCTAGTTTGTCCCTTGGTGCCTGGGGCGATTCAACCCGAGACATAAAGCACAATAGTCTCCGTTGTGTTGGATCAAAAGACACAATGGGGCTCCGTGAACTTGTTTCTACCTGGTGTTCCAATGATTTTGAGTTACGGTCTGCCGGTGTGCTAGGTAGTGAATCGTAAAGAAGCCTCCTTTGGTACCGGGCCTCCTGGGTACCGGGTAGCCTCCTGAGTACCGGGAGTAGGTATTTTTGAAAATTGACAAACATCGTGAAAGGGTGATTGTTTTTTCCTGGGAAACTAATAACTATACTGTGCTCGAAGTAACTTCTTTTGGATATACTATGACAGGTAAACTTTAGATTGTTTACACTTTGAGCTCGAGCGTCAAAGCAAAGCTTGTAGTTGTATATTCGTAATTGTAAATAATGGATGCGTGCATTTTTGTTGCATGCAATTGCATTTTTCAATGTCTCGTAATCCGTTTGAGTTTTGTTAAGCTATTTCAGAATATGGTTGAGGTTATTGCGCTTGGCAGTGAGTGAATCTGTCGTTGACGAAACATCCTGCTACCACGCGTGCATACGCACTGCAATTTGCGATAGCCGTGGAAACGCTGATACGAACGTCATTGGTAGGATTCAACTGTTTTTTTATTAACATTTTTTTTTTGTACGTACGATATTATTTATATTTTAAATCCTCCTTATTTTAATAAAAAAACTAAAAACGATCGTTGAATGATACATATCAACCGGTCTATGAAACCGCATTTATGCAAACAAATACATATATGTATATATGTCAATATATTATATTGGGGCATAAATATATTATTCAATTATCCATATTTTCCTGTGATTCATCTTTATTTGCAGGTTATACTAGCAGCTGTTTCTGGCCACTGTTGGTGGCCATCGCGTCCTTCTAAAGGCTAATAATGCGTGATATCTATTGTTCCTATATGGACGCTATGGTACTGTTGATTCGTGCGCGTTGACCTCGCTCATTATTTCTCAATAGTTTTCAACGCATTTTCGTGGGACGCTACAAAGCTCCCGTGGGCAGGTTATTTTTG